ATTTGTTTTGCGGTAGTTCGTAAGGACAAAGGTTTTGGTTGCCGGTCTTGGCACCGACCCGGTATGTGGGAAGCGCGAGCCGCAGAGGCTTCCTCGAAGCTGATATTTGGATCGGGGGATCCGTTAACGTGGTTAGGCAAATGCAAGCAAGAACGCCGGCAAACTCCTCGAGATAAGTTGTGTATACCTAGACGAGTGCTATGCTAGGTTACCGCGTGCCCGTTGTATTCGCGCAAGTACGCATACATATATACACACAATTCAGGATCATCTTACACGTGTAGTTTATAGTCCGTTTACACAGGTACAAGCGCACGCAATGGCACAGCCAAAGGATTAATGCGATAATTGAAATTAATCAATTATCAGAATCAAATTTCCAATGTTATTGCGGCACATTTTCATAAATATGTAAAGATATGTGTGAACAAAAAGTGATAACAGTATATATGGGTAAAATTACAAATCACTCATTAATCGAGCGAAATAGTTTATGATCAGTTTTAATGAGGACATGCCTTTTCCTCCTTTCAATCTACTTGAATCACTGTTTTAAAAATACAAGTTTATCTCAAAATTATATTCTCAAGCGCAATAAATTATCAAGTATTAAAAAATATAAATCGCATTATTTTTTAATTGTAAATTTTAATTTGCTAACAAATGTATAACATTATGCACTTAATTTAATATAATTCACCAACTTGTAATTATAAATTTAATATCGTTCGCAATTTGTAAATACAAACTACACCTTTATGCATAAAGCAAGTCAATAAAGTTTAATTTTCCTGCATTGTGATTTACTTTCTTATACAATGTATCATTTCGAATGCATTTGCTTTTTGTAAGAAATATGCGCGATATATATAACACGGGTTTTCCTGACTTTCACACTTTTTCTTTATTCACAAAGAACACTTTCATGCAAACTGGATAAGCCGCCGGCGTCCTCATATCTTCGGCCCGACGGCATCTTAGAGATTTTGCATACAATTCATTTTTTTCTCTTTCTTTCTGCTTTCTTACGTTTTATCTGTGATTTACGCCAGAGATCATTCAAGAATGATTACATCGATTTTTCGTTCACAATGAAACATTTCATTTTTAATACCTTATTATAAATTATTTTAAAAATATTATTATAAACTAATTAACTAATATTTCTTATGATTTATCTCTTGCAAAATATTTTTTTGTTTTAAAGCAATTTGATAAACGTTAAAATTTACATTGCAAACTGTACATCTGGATTTCAAAAATCAAAATGGAAAAATTAAAGTTATATACAAGCCAGGTATATATATATATAATAAACCAGAAATACTAGAATAAAATTATTTAGCATTCATTTTTTCATCTATTGATTATTTTTTGTTTAATGTGCTTCTTATAGCTGTTATGTGATTTTGGTTCTATGTCATCTGCTTAAAACATTAAAGGAAAATTTTTCAAGTATGGAATTATGTATCTTTGCATTTCGACTATCCTACTTAAAAAAATACTTTGATTACTTCTCTTTATTTTATTTTCTTATTCCATCTTAATAAGAGATTTTTTTAATGTAACATTCTTTAATTTGTCATGGAATCAAATATTTTAATACATCTGTCTTATATAAATAAAATATACACTCCTCAAAATAATTAAGATAAAAAAAATTTGTATCCCTCAATTATTTTAAGGAGTGTATGAAGAGATAAAAAGATAAATAGAACGATATAAAAAAACAAAAACATAACTTTCAAAAATACTTAATAATAAAATAAAATACATATTGCCAAAAATGTATATTTGCAATTTCTCATCAAAGAGCAACTCTTCAATTTGTCAAAATAGCTGTCAATTATGTCATCGTGATAAAAAAGTAATAATAGAAAACACAGAAATTTCGGTTATCATCTTGCTTGCAGAAATACGATGATGGTACAGGTTTGATTTTTATTCATTTAATTGTCAAAAAGGAAAGCATTGAGAGACGAACAAGCTGGAAGAAGGGAAGGAAACAAGAATGCATCGAGAATGAAAAGCTCGACGGGAAAATTCGGACTAGTCAACGAGGAAAATTTAATTTGTTCCGCGCTCGACGTTCTTCGTCGTCGTCCTCAGGGTTGTCGAGCATCTACTTCACGACGACTTTATCGACTTTGTGGTCTTCTTCTCTCAACGCTCGTTTTCATTAACAGTATGACGTGCTCCTGATCGCTGGATTTCCATCGACAAAATGCTCTTAATGAAAAATGCAATTCGAGCACAGACAACATTGTTACGTGTCGAAGTGTTCTCTTCATCATTGAAAAGAATTTGTAATAAATCATAAAAATACGTTGCAGCAAATCTTATTAGAATTTCCACTTCCGATGCACATATAACATTCTGTTTGATTTCATAATCCAGTGACAAGTTCTCTTCTCTTATAACAAATTAAATTCTATTTTTGTGTTCAGAAAAATGTTTTTTCTCCTTTTCACTCTTTTCTTCCTCTTTCTTTTTTTTTTATCGCTATACTACATTTTCAAGTATTTTTTTATACAAAAGACGCATAAAGAATTATCTTCAAAGGTAACAAATGTTAAGTTATTATTAGTGACAAAGAAAAAATTTAATCGTTAACTCTTTGTATTACTTTACCTTTACGGATTCTATTGCGAACTTTTTCTTTCTTTAAATATGTTCCTTCAACCTCGTTTAATATCTTTTTAAATATAACCGCGTACAAAAATGATAAAAATAATATTTCTTTATCTTTTTGAATAAGATTTTACCATAAAAAAGTCTCTCTCTTTCTCTCTCTCGAATTACTTATTCTTTAAATGTTTCATTACGCCTCTCGCGAATGTGTAATGAATCTTTTATGCCTAAAGTACCATGTACATTCATCTCATTTCTCCGTATATTCGTACTTATTTTTCCATTTAATTCAAACGTACATTTATGCAATACTGTAAGAGATCTCTTTATCATTTTTTATCACTGAAAATGTAAAATTCTCTCTATATGATCTTAACATGAAATGCCTTCCGCGTGCGAATACAGAATAACATGAAAAATCTTTGCAAATCACTATTTGACGACATAAAATATTCTTTAAATTTTTATTGACCCAAAAAAATCCACGCAAAACAATAGCACAAAAACCAATTTGCGATTTTTTCCTTTTATCTTTACATACATAAATATTTTTTCGAAAGTTATGCTAGATCTCGTAATAAGTAAAGATTTATCACTTTAACGAATGTTCCATAATCTTCCTTCCAGTTTATGTATTATATCTGAAATTTCACATAAATTATTTTTCAAACGTATATAATCTCACAAATGATAAATTTTTATGATGGATTAAAAAATTATGTAAGAGAAAAAAGTGAAGTCAAGATTAAATCATTAACAGTAATTGGATAAAAAAGTGACAAGATAATTATAATTAAGTTACAATTTGATCAAAACCAAAATATATTTGATGTATATTTATTTTATGATGTATATAATTTATAGTTTATTTTATTTGTATGTAATATAGAGTTCACTATATATCTGCGCAAAATGATTTTGATATCATTAAAAATAATTATAAAATTTTTTAAACAATTATTTCATGTAACTCGTAATTTCGAATATAAATGTAAGCTGCTGGTTGTATTTCCATAATTCTGCTTCTTATTAAATAGTTCTCGTGTAGTTTTGGACACGTACAATGTTCTTCCAAAGAGTTCTCATAATGGAAATAATTATAAAATTTTTTCAACAATTATTTTATCCGAAAAACTCGTAATTTCGAATATAAAGGTGAAACAAAATTGTCGAAATATAACCAGCAGCTCACCTTTACCTTCGAAATTACGAGTTTTTCGGATAAAATAATTGTTTAAAAACATTTCTAATTATTATCAGAACTATTTGGAAGATCATTGTATGCGTTATTTATTTGAATAAAAAATCAAAATAATAATGGCTTCGCGCGAGTGTTAATCGTGAATTATTTTTTATTATATGGTATTTATATTTAATCATTTTTTATCAATTATTGAATTTTATATCTTGCATTTTGCTTTGAATTTTCCATCCAGTTAAATATGATTTACTTTCTTAACATTAAGAAGCGCGCAGTAATATATGAACAATTTACCTAAGTATTAAAAAAGCTAAAATATTCTACTGTCCATTAATAATAAATTTATATTTACAAAGAACATTATAATATTGCATAAATATCAATATTAAATACGTTATAATTATATAATTATCATTTTAAATAGTATATAATTATCATTTTAAATACGTTAAATATTTCGTGACGGTAATAAAGTATTACGATGTTTGGAACTATTTTTGTGACGTAAGACACACGATCTCCATGTAATTTGCGCGGCGAGACTTGAGCGAGAAGGACGTAGAGCGAGAAACTCCGTGTGTCGTTCCACTATTTATTGTAATATAACTACGACAAATACTGGAAGAGAATGCGATCAATTCTAGTGGGTATTTAGCAGTTATTAGCCTGCATGACTGGCTGACGTCTACGATTAACAACTCATTAGCGTATCCATAATTTACAATAACGACTACTATTAAACAAAAATAAATATTTGGCATTACTTATTTAATTGAATAAAAAATAATAATAGGGATTTAACGAACGCTAATCATGCATTGTTAATCATGCATTATGATATTTATAAATAATCATTTCTATAACGACTCTTGATTATGGAAATATCTTGTATTGCGTTTTCGATTTTTCATCATTAAATATAATTTGCCCATTATTTTTGGCAACAAGAAAGCGTGCAGTAATATACGAGTGATTATAATGAAAAGTCGTTAAATACATCAATTGTTCATTAATAATTGATTTGAAATTACAAGAAACAGTCTAAATCATATGAATATATTTCGTAATCCGTGAAATAGAATATTTCGTAGCGGCAGTGAACTATCATACGATGTTTGGCGCGCTTATTTACGACGTGAAGTGCGCCCTTGTTTACGCGTGACGGCCATGTTGTCATTCGCGCGCCGAGGCTCGTCCGGAAGGGTAGTTGTGCGAGGCAGGTAGAGCCGGGCCAAGTATTGTCGTAATATCTTTCGAAACACAATCACGAGAAGTGTACCAGGTAACGTCGTAATAATCGTTATATACAACTATTGCAATTAACAATTGTCAGTCTGCGCAATCGATTAATTCTCGCAATAAACTACTTGTAAAAGTATCACGGTGGAGACTATCCTTCGAAACAGATTTTTCGCGCAATATATTTACTTGAAATAGCTCACAAAATGATATGGGATGTTAATATTTATTTAGCTGTACATAATTTCGACATTTCTATATCGTTGTAATTTGTCAGGATGCGTATCTCGCAAGATTTATTCGATCAAAATCTGTCGTGCAAATAAAATTTTCATGTCGATAAACTTAACCATATTTTCGAATATTGCTAATTATATATTTGACCGTTGATATTTATCTTTAATTTTGATATGTATATTTATTTATGTTACGTTACGATATAGCAAAATTCTATTCTAATATGCGTATATTATTTGTTAACAGCAGAGATAGAATTACTACAGAAAATGATGCATTTTGGCAAATAAATTTTGTGCCGTGAAAGCAAAGGATGAATACAAAAAGAAAAAAGAACTAGAGAGGACAATGGAACAACTAATTTGATAGAGGGTAAGTAATTTGTAACAATTTTTTTATGTTTGTCTTTTATTTTATTTTTTTATTTTCTGGTTATTTAAAATTAATTGCTCCTTTATTTCTGCAATAAATATTATAATGTATAATTCAAAATATTTAAAATTTTATTTTAAAATACTTAAGATATATTTAATAAAATGATTATATTAACACACATATATATATTTTATAAAATTAATTTTCATATACAATTTTTATGGAAAATATGTAACTCAAAAAAATAATTATTATTTGTATATTACATATCTGTATTAAATATCCAGTTATAAAAAATAACTATAAACTTTAATTGTGTGCGTGCGCGTATTTATTAATTATTTTTTAAAATATTGATTATTTTGTATGCTTTAATGTGGATATATTTGTATTTTACAGAATGTGTATGCTACAACGTGAGCTATAACGTGTTTCACAGATGATTGTATACTACAACTCCACCGTTCATTGCTCATCGTGTAGGTGAATATTAAATTATTTTTTATCTTTATATCAAGATGATGGATTTGTGAGTATTTCATTAGATATCTGCATAAGATATCAAGATTATCAGCAAAATTATAAAACTATGAATTTGCAATAATAGATATAAGCAAAATATTCTGCATTATTCATTCTTGTAAATGTTAATTTTTATCATTATTATACATATATATCTATATTCATTATTTTTCTTTAATTAATCAATTGAAAGTAATGAGAAATGATAATATACACAATATGTACATATATCACAGGTCTATTATCTTTGAATAGATAGGCTAAAATAAATTAGTAAAACTATTGAAACTTCAATTATACATATATGTAATTATCTATACATTTTATTACTTATTGCATAACTAAATATTAAGTGCAAAACAAAAAGTATTCAAAAAATGGAATTAAAAACAAAAAATCTAATAATAATATTTTAGCAATTTTGGTATAAAATATATAAAATATATATAAATATATTTAATATAAAATATAAATATATTACAATTAATAAAATTTTCGAGTTTATTGTCTAACTAGATAAAGTAGTAAAAAAAGAGAAATAAATAAATAAGTAAAATAATGACATCTATCGCGAATATAAAACTTTTATGTCTCTCTTTGTCTTTCTCTCTTTTTATTTCTCTTTCTTTAGAAAATTCATATGTCATAAATAAAGATCAGAACAAGATATTTATATATGTTGTATTTATATATAGGAAATAAAAAGAAATTTTTATTTATAGAACATTTACGATACGAAAAAGTAGTTAATATTTGTGACTACACAAATGTGTGACTATTTGTTCTTTTCCGGTTTAAAAATTTTTAAAAATAGGATTTAACATGTCTTTATAAAGATATTTTTACATATTCTTCCAAGATTAAAAATTATATAAGAGATATTAATTTTATAAGAGTATATTAATTTTGTGCTAATTTTTCGAAGCCTATTTATATAATATGCATTTGCATACGTATATTTGGAGTATATTCATCTTATAGTATTATTAAACATTTCGTGGTAGTTATAGAATTGACTGGCACATGGTGCTTTTTACAGTGCCATTAATTTATTACTATACTATACACATACATAATCACTTAATCATTTGTACGACGAAATTCGAGCAAGCAGACAATGGCATTTTGTTCTTTTGTTATTATATATACATAATACGTGTATATAAGTATACAACTTTATTACGATAAGTATTTTAGCAATATTGACGTAGTGTAAACGCATAACATTCCTCGTATATGTTGCATATATTTAACCAAATGTAAGAAAAATCGGGCAAAAATTAGAATTAAATTGTCGAAATCTATTCTAAGAGAAGGTATTAGGATTTTTATAACTTTTACACTAAATGAATATAAAAAAGAGGTTCTCCCCTGCATATACTTGTGTTTGTACCTGTAAAAAAAAGGTCAGATTCGTCGTCGTCGTCGTCGTCGCGACTGTGTCTGTGGTGCCGACTCTGCTAAGTAAGTAAATCTTCGACGTAGATTTACGATCCCGCAGGGAGTCACCCATGTATCTCGTTCACCATGCCGTGGCATGGATCGATAGTATCGCAGACGGGACCCCAAGCTTCGTTCTATTAATCTCGATCGTTTGTTCTAAGTTTATCGTCCGTCGCAAAGTACCGGGTACATTTAAGCAGAAAGGTTACCGTTCTATGCGTATATATGTGTACTGAGAATCTTCCAGCTCCCTCTTATCGATCACTTGAACCTTAATTTTAGATAAGTTTTTCTCCCATTATGTATACATATATAAACATTATATCAGAATTTTTGCATTCTTCTGAAAAACTCTTATAATTTTAATTTGATCAACATTTTTAACGCGCGCGCAATTTAACATTAATTAATTAATCTCTTATTATATATATAAAATTATTTTGTTTAAAGGAGATAAAAAACACTTTGATGATATATATACATATATAAACATCACATTGTTTCTTTATTCCTTTTAAATAAAATAATTTTATAATGAGAGATTAATTAATTAATGTTAAATGGCGCGCGCGTAAAAGATTTTGACTATATTAAATTTATGAGAAATAATAAATTTTCAGAAAAATACAAAAATTTTGATATAATATTTTGATCATTATACAATATTACGGAATATTCGGGAAATGTGGACACTAGAAAATTTATATATATATATATATATATATATATATATAATAATAATTTCAAACTCGTGTATTCGAAATATCATGTATTATATTGCGACAATGCTAAAATATGTCATTAATTTAGCGTTTCCACGAGGTTTCGGAGGGTCTGTTAGATTAGAACAAATAGCTGTTATTTAGAGAATAACGGCGAGAAATTAGCGCTGTTCATCTCACCCATGCCACCGAGCGTACAGAAACGCCAGAATGATATCGGTAATTATTGCTCGCGATATCATCGAATGCGAAATCGATTGTTATCCAGTTATAGATGCTTGCAATCACAAAACAGATACAGTCACCTAACTCACGAATCGCGTAAACTAGGTACATATCGCGCGTCAAAAGTCGACTTTACGATATTAGATGAACATTATCTCGGCGTTACGACGAGATATAATATAATATACATATATATGGCAATAATATTTCCGGCGTCGCAAATTTGCTAGGACAACAATTTTGCATTCCAAATCGGTCGCGTCTCTATGTATATGTCGTGTATAGCATACGCTGCTTCATCCCTTCCCACTGTCTACCTTCCTCCCCTTTCTATCCTTCTCGTCCATCCTCATGGGGTTACGTTCGTGCAAACCCTGACATAATGAAATCCGTGCCATTAGGCCGGACAGTAGGGTAAATTCGTGTTCGCGCAAACGTCGGTTTCCGGCTCGTTCGGCGTGCACGTACTCGAATCGAATCGAATAGAATCGAGATCCTCCGACAATGCTCCACAAAACTCTCTCTAGTTCTGCGTATATACATCTAGACGGTGTCCGTGAAACAACGCCGTTAATCATTGACTTAATGTCATTGAAATTCTGAATACATACATACATACGTTGTATCATTTATTGCTTCATTAACCAGTCAAATATGTTTATATACTCAAACGTTTGTAGAGTGTCTATATAATCATTTATTATACGATTTTACGAAACGTCTCGTGAGAATGTCAGGATATTTATAAAGCAGATTAAATTCCTTGCGCTATCCGCAAATTTTTTGGTCACAAACTGGTATTTTCCTTAAAAATATCTTTAAAACGGTATACTTTCGATACACGGCGTATATCCGTACGTTTCGATTTTCGTAAGGTTGGTAAAGTAAAATCGGACAGGTAGATAGAGACGAGCGGGAGAACACGCTGCGTTTCTATCTACGAACGTGTGTATCTGCATAGAGTGCAGGAGGACCAAGTGAGGGTAAGAGGCGAATGTTGAGGGTTGCATGCAAGAGGCCGGAAAGGGGGTAAAGAGAGGTAAAGAGGATAGGGGCCACACGGGGGAATTCGATGCCGGACGATCGAGCAATCTGATGATCGCGTCCTAATCGAATTAAACTCGCCGGTTGTGCCCGTGTTTACGATGGGCTGACTCGTCGGTTTGGATTTGCTACGTTCGCGCGATAATGGACGCGCACGTAGTGGTGGTGCCAATACCATCCTCCGGCGGAATGGCCGTAGTGATACGTGCGAGCTTCGCGTTCCTCATCGATCCCGGTTGTTATCGCCGAATGGAAAACGTGGGCAACTCACAAGATCCTGATATACGGGACCGTGAGTCTTCGGGGTTGTTTATTACGGGGAGATGGCCGAAACATTGGCGAGGGATATTTCAACATGTGACTAGTTCTGATGTTTGATATTACTCAATGAAGTTGGAATTTTTTGAAATTTTTTATTCGTCTTGTGTCTTTTTGCAAAGTAATAAGTGTGAGCCGAAAATTATTTCAAGTATTTATTTCAATAAAATAAAAGAAATTTTCAGGGATTGTATTAATAAATGTATGTTATATGTTTATATTCTGCTTTATATAGCAATTTATTTATTAATCTAGCTTTTAGAAAATTATGCCATTATATTCACTCATTTTCTATTACATAAATTTCATAGCTATTTTTATTCATTCTGTTGAAGAGATTATTTTTTTTTTTTTGACAATATTTTGTAATTATTGATTTAAATCGGAATACACAGAATTTATTTACATTTGGAATAATGTTCATATATTGCGTGTTTCGATAAACTACAAACTCTACTATCAACTCTATTATCATCTTTGAATGTATACCATATAAAAGTAGCCAATGATGCATCTTAAGCTTTTACGATAATTGCACTGGTTTACTGTGGATACTCACTGAATCCGATTTAGACTGCGGAAGTCGATTAAATTTTAACTTCCTTGCAGCGTCAATATACAGATTGTGGACGAAAGTTTACTCGGTGCAATCGGACGGTACTACTGTTTTTGTTTTTTGCTGAACGGAAATGTTTGTTTTCTTTTATCGTACATCGTATTTTTCACAGGAAGGAAAACAATTTAAAATTTAATTCGGAAACTATATGAAATAAAATGTTTAAATAAAATATGAACGACAGTTTTTAGTTTCAAAGTTATTCTTAATAAATAAATCAAATATATAATTCGTTTTTATTATTTATTTAATAAAATATATATTTATCTATACGTACAATCTGATAATAAAAACGAGAATATTTCGTCAATGCATAAAATATAGGTATTCAAAAAGCGATTTTATCAAATTTAATATAATACATTTTATGTGTTATATTATACATCAGGAAATTAATATTTCGTACGTGGCATATTATAAATGATTCTCTCTGATCCGAATTAGCGCATCGTTTTTCTCACTCACACTTCACGCTTTCAAAATGTCATATCGCTTCGGCAAATGAATTTTCGATATTATTCCGAGTTAATAAATAGCAATCCATTTATATTTGTGCATGTGCTTACAACACTCGTGCATCATTGTATAATCGATTTACTAAAAATTCATTGAATCCGAGCTAATAATGCGATTATAAAATTGAATAACGTAGATTAGTATAATACATTAATTTCATCATTTTATTTCATAATAATCACAATAAATGTGTATTTAAGTATTAACGATAACAATGCACAAGCCTAAAATTTCACAATTTGCTGTATCACAAATAAATAGATTTTAAACATTTAATATCGGATTTAATAATATATTTAGAATGACTCTTATGCCCGTTTTATCATAAATATATAAAAAAAACCGATTATATTGCACAAATTATTTCCAGACGCGCAATTCTTTTGACATATACGTAACAAATTGAAACGAATTATACAGAATATAGGAACACGAGGTATTATACTTAATTTCTTTTGCTGTGCTAATAAAAATTTTGACAAAATAACTGTCGAGATTCGAGAATGGGACAGTTGAGGGTGTTTGCGGTAACAACTAGATACCGGATAAATCCGAAATCGGAGAATCACTGCAGGGCACTTCTCGTCGACTCGGTCAAAGTACGAGACTTTATATAAAGCCCGCAGGCAAAGCGGATCCGTTTACAAGTGCTAATTGTAATTTTAAAGCAATCGAATCCGCCGACGATATACGGTACGTTCGTTAGAGAGAGCATTGCGGTTACGAGCTTACCAGCGAGTGGTCGCCCGCCGTTTAATTAACAATTACGGATTAATATCAATCGGTACGCGTATCGGTGACGTGAGAGTTACCGATTTTCTAAATCGTTTTAGCAACAGGAATATTTTCGAGAAATAGACAAGCATACTAAACAATTTATTAAGTACTTTGCTAACATTTTCCGAAACTACAATATATTATATGTACATCTTAAATAATTACGATGAATTTATCATGTATTAAAATTGATATTAAAATTTTATCAAGATATAGAGATGAGGAATGATAATATGCATATCTCTCTAAATTATACAAGGCATGAGTGACAATTTTATCTAAAGACAAAATAAACAAAATTGAAATATCTTTATGTAATATAATAAATTTTCTCATATTGTTAATATCGTGTGAGAGAGATGTAAATTTGTGAGAGGCATTTGTTGACTTTTACACTTCAAGTTGCGAAATGAGTGATCGGTAGTTTCGAAAGCTCTATATAGTTGCGAACATGACATAACTATGACACAAGATGACCGTCATCTGACAGAACGAGAGTTCTCCAGTTTAGCTCTAGTTTGTAAGTCATACGGTTCGCAGTAAGGTGCCGCGACGGGATGTCAACGGTAGTCAACGTGGACAGCGACATGATGTACATACATACGTACTGCGCGAACGTACGCGGCGTTCATGCAAATAGCAAGACAAACAACAGTCACCGCAAGTTTCGCGAGGAACCCCCGCAAGATACCTCCTACTTCTGAAACTCGACAGTCATCGGGTAATTCTGAGTTACGTTTCTCCCGCGACACGTGTAATTCATAGGGATAATTATTATAATGTTCATTCTAGGTCATCAAAATTACGTAAATTACCTACTATTAAAAAAAAAAACACAAGTTTATGTCTATCTCTAAAAGAAAATTTTCGTTAATTTAGATATATAAAATTAATGTTTACCTTTAAAGAATAATTTTTGAAAAATCTTAGCACAAAATGCGTACAAGATATTTTTCACAATTTAAAATAAATTTTAAAATCTAAATACAATATACATAAAAAAATATTTTCTTCAAAAATATATGCCTTCTAGGTTTTATATTATTGTACGAGCAAATTTTATTAAGTATTATACATATCTATTTTATTCTTCGCTGTCATTTGCAGAATTCGATTTTTATCTCAATGCATCCCTCGAGTAATTCTAATCGCTTAACATATAATGCCTTATAACAATACCGTGATGGCATCAGCTAGAACAAATACATTATTCCGTCTATGTTCACATTTTGTATTTCTATGAAAGCGACCAATAACAATTTGGTCGAATTAACTATTATTTGGGCAGGGAATAGTAACGTGTAGAATGGAATTTCCACCATCATCCGACCGAAATCAGAAATACACGCTTCGCCCGTTTACTATTCCGCCCAAGATGGTTATAGTCATATTGCCCATTGTCGTGCTTAGCTTCTGTAAAGGGCGGTTACCGGTAGTCAATGCACATACCGGGGCGCTCCAACATCGTGTGCATCGTATGCATATATGCGTGTCCGTGTGTCGGCGTATGTGAATGTACAGAAATCAGATAACTATCACAACGCTCTGTGAATTTCTCCCAAGACCGCTCTATCTATCTTTGACCTTTCTCTTTCCTTTGGAATTTCTCTTTTCGTCGTCAATTGCAATTCCATTGCCAAATTTGGTTTTGAACGGTTAACGATTTGCTAATCGCTTCATAATTAATTAATATATAAAATATAGTTATAAGCAAAAATTATTTTGTTAACAAAGCTTATTGATTTGTATGTATTTTACATTATGTTTTTTTCGCTGATATGTTATATTATTATCTTTGTTTCCAATTGAGAGAGTAATATATGAATTGTCGGAGATGCGATAATTTAAGTAACGAAAAACCATTAAAGAGATATGTATGTATAAACGATTAGATTGATACATAAATAATTAAATAATTTAAATAATGAAACACTATGATGGATGCTTTTTATTGCTAATTAATCAGAAATGAAAAAAAGAAAATATTTGATGTAAAATTATAAATATTTTTGTTTTCAGCGTCCTATACAGACAGTTCATCGCGCAAAATAATTTGGTTTATGATCGTGAAATTTAGTGCCGCGCAAAGTATAACGTGTTCATATCGCGAATGTTTTGTCACGTTTTAATAATTGTGGAAATGTGTAAAATATTACGCGTCCGAGTGCGGGAGTGCCGTGCAAAGTGTCGCGTTGCATAATAAATATTATTGAATCATATTTTCAAAAGTGAGTGCAACGAATCCTAACAACCTGAGAGGAGGAGGAGGCCAAGAGGCATCGGGCAACGGCAGAGCAACTTTGAGGTAAATAATTTATTAATTATATATTATTTTTCATTATACTTTTTTCGCGTGCACATATTTGTTTCTATTAATTTGATCCATTTATTTGAATTTAAAGAAGAAGTAAAAAAGACTTATATAAATCATCTTATATATATATAAACTTATACTTATAAGAAAAAAACAATTTTTTTTACAATTTATTAATTAGTAATTTCATTAAATATTTATTTCTTATTGTATACATAGAATTTTATATTTGATTATAAAATTCGACATTTGTACAATAATAATTTTTTGAAATATTAATTATTTTAATTGCTATTATAATTTGGATTTTATATTTGTCTGTTACAGATCAAGGTACTTTATGCAGTTGATTCTGCTGGTGTGTGCATCGAACGGTGAGTGGGTTTTTTATTTTATTTAAAAGTAACGGATCTCTGAAAACTATATTTTGAATTATGTATATCTAGATACAGTAATAACATAAAGCTATTATAAAGAAATTACATACGTATATGACATATAGTTCGTTGTTTTAACGTTCAGTAGGCGGCATGATAACCGTACAAAAGTAATATTACCTAAATATATAAAATAATAATATAAACTAAAACTGGTAATATGGAATATAATGTTTAAAATAATATATCCTGTTGTTTGGATGGCTAAACAAATCAAAGCGACTAAAAATTCATGTTATGAAAATGTCAATATCATTCCATGCAGAATGCAAATTCTATTTCCAATGCAGAGAAGAATATTGTGAACTCCAAGTGCACGAATATGATAACACAACTAGTAAAAATAAATATTGCTTTATATATCGAATTTAAGTTATCTAACTTTGAGATATAAAACTATTTTTTTAATTTCTGAATCAGATTTTCCATTTTCTATTTTTATTTTAATCTGCATATTTTTTATAAACGAAAAACTGTTTACTTTGGTCGTACGGTCAAACTAAAAACGTAAACAATAAAATAAGAAGAATAAATATTGTGAACATATCGATGCAGGTAATGAAAGTTTGCGTAAACAATAGAAGTTATTCGCGAATATTTCTACTTCGTAAACGCAAAAATGTATGAGTTTGTGGTCATAAAACAAATAAATAAGCAACTGAGTAAACAAAAGCAATGAAAAAATCAATTCAAAGAACAGGAAAATAATACAATTTAAATCGTAACGATGATAAGAAGTACCACGAAATTTACACGCGTACATCGCAGGAAGTTTTCGTATGCACCGTTGCATGTAACGATCCGATCTGCATAACGAAGGTTACTATATAACGGATCTTATGCGAAATAGCATTTCGAGATTCGGTTTAAAGTGCGCTGAGCATATGTAGATCCTTTTATCGGACACTATTTTCTCATAATATCCCTGCTAATGATATTTGCATTAGATTATAATAATAATGTCAAAAAGTTATGATAATGATAACTTATCACTGGTAAGTAATGCTTTTTTAATTCCTGTTCAATTTTTGCCAAAATAAAAACAGAAATATTAACTAAAAAGATATAATGATAATATTATACTAAACGTATTATCCAAGCATACAAAATTCATCAAGCAACTTTGTTGGTAAAACTAAAATTGGAAATTATAAAGAAAAAAATCCCATTTTTCTTATTTATTTTCACGCATAGAGTATCTCTGCGAGAGATTTATAATAATTAAAATTTTTTTCGATTGTGGAGATGCATTATAACTTCAGTATCACATCAGGTACAGTATAATATTTCTTCGCTCTTAATTTTGTCAACATATATGTATCACATCGCACGAATAAAGAGATCAGGATCAAAATCCCGAAACATTTAGAATTCAGTTTAATTTTCGCAAACCGGCGCGTCGCATTCGCGGAAAACTTCGTAAACCGCTTTCATTTAATTTCATCTGCAGAGAACATGCGCCATAATTAGGCGGCAGTTATGCCGGTGCGACGAACAAAAGAAAAAAAGAGATGAAAAAGTAAGGAGGGGTGCACCTATATAAAGGTTCGTTTGCGCTTCACGAACGCAGCACGGCGACTTCCCCGAGATCCCACTTCTAACAACGCTTCCTCGCCCTCGCGATGCGTGACCGGGGTCAGGATGGCACCGTTAGAAATCATTTCCACGAGTGCTCACCCACTCGTGGAGAACACGTACTGCCGCGAAAATAAGCTTCCGAGTTATAAGCGCTGTGGGACATTGCTTCTTTCTTTCCGCGGTGCCAGTCGACCTCGAATGGTCATCAAGATTTTTTGACAAGACCATTGGACGATATTGTCCAAATGAAAAGTTTTCATTCCGTAAAATAATGTTTCTAATGCATCAAGGAAGTATAGATTGTTTTCTATATTTTTCATAGAGCACTTGCTGCACAAAAGATCATTAATATAGATATTGTAGCTGTATTATATGAAAATTTATATCATTTCATTTTGAGAAAATCGCGAATTAAATTTTGATTAATATAATTGATTTTTTGCGAGTTTGGGGCTGGGTTAGGGGCAGAGAATATTTATTTAAAAATGATATCTACACGAAAAGATTATATTATGTAGTTATATATTGCATTCATATTCTTTTATATTCTATTCTATGATATGAAAAATATTTTATGTTATAAATTATATTCACTAACGAAAAAATATTAAAAATTACAAAAAAATATTGAGAGAAAAAAATTACGTTATATACGCAAACATCAGAAATCACATACACAAAATTGCATAACGTTCGAATAGTACATTCGTACTAATCCCTCGTTAGTTCGGATTACAGCTGTTATGTCCAGATGTCTTTCTAAAGCGCTTCGATCTGGTACGTCACAACACCATATAAACTATTCCGGATAAGTACGTCTAATTGGCAGAGTATTTTAGAATCACGGCTTATATTTAGCATTAAAACATTATCGGTTAGAGATACTCGATAACACACATGTATTTAACTTTAATATGAAGAAAAAAAGTAATTAAAATTTAAAACTTTCTAATATCGCGAAATAAATTGATTGCAAGTTAATTACATAACTTTTCGATTTTTGGATATTCGATTTTATCATAGCATAACATTGTTTAAGATAATCCAATTATAATATGTATTGAATCTTTGTAACTGCAGTCATTGTTACACAAGCTATTAAAATTGCTGAATATTTAATATTAATTATGTAACAAATATATGTATATTATCGTAGCAAAAACTTTACGGGATATATTGTAAAATTAGATAAAAGTCATTTCTTTCGAATTTTGAATAATATTCGGAATAATCTCGCGTGAGACACGTACCTAAAGGCATAATGATATATTATACAAGGAAACGTTTCGGCAGGCAGATGAACAGTAAATTATTTATGACATTCGCACGAAAACGTGCTGTCAATTTATATCGAAATGTCAGAATTGGAATTGACATTATCGTGATACAGATAAAAAGAATATTAGTTCCAAGAGAATAAAAAATAACGCGATCATAAATAATAATTCAAAAAGTTATCGTTATATTATCATCTTATCATATCTCGATAAATTTTATTTTTTTTTTTTTAGTATCTATAATCTTAAATAAAGAAGGATTTCTGTTTATGTTATTTGATGCAACTATAATTTACCGAATGAAAAATATTCAATGGACGACACAAATAACCTATTTACAGTTATTCGGTTACCGATCAATTATCAATTATCTCTCTATATTTTTGTTGTCGCAAAAGCTATTCCGCGCGTTAGATCGATGTTATTTTTCGAAGTCGATCAATCGCGCGCAACCTGCTGACTTCTCTCTTCGCGCATCGCAAAAAAAACAGTCATAGAATAACAACGTTCATCCGTCCGTCCGTCCGTCCATCTATGTGCTTGTTACCAAACCGGCGCGGCGAGATCGAGAGCGAGCTGATAATAATAAGAGGTGCTTTTCATAATTGCCGACGTAATTAGAAGGAAAAAAAGACGGAGGTGAAGCGCGCAATGCACTTTCTTCGCAGTCGGTGACGGTTCTGTTCTGGTTCGTCTCGTTCAAGTGTGCACGCTATTGTTTGAGTGTGTTGAGGTGCAATTAAGAATAAAAAGAAGCATTCGCTTGTCTTTTCGATTCGGCGTGTTATTTCTACGGGAATAGAATGCGATTTAATTTAATTATATAATATATTCTACTCACGTCTTTTCACTTTAATACTATTATTTAAACACGGAAGAGACACGCGTTGCTTTCCTTCGTCGAAAGCTTTGCGAAATTTCACTAAGTACAGATGAATAACGACAAGTATATATATTAACCGCCTAAATTCGCTCGCGATCCGCTTTTGCCACGAGCGGATAAATCCACAAAATTGGCAAACAAATAAATTATACAGCCCTATGAGAGTCATACAAAGAGAGAGAGCGAGTGAGAGAGAGAGAGACTGGAAATGTTGTCGGCGCACATCGCAATTATTTACAGTACCTTACAGAGTGCGCCAAGTTCGTCTGCCTAATTTAATCTTATTTAATTTCTAGAGACGCGCGACTCTCTTCGCGTTGTGTATTGTACCAGTATACCCTCTGTCGAGATTCACGGTACGATTTATGGTTGCTTTCGCAAAACTTTACGCTGAATAAACGCTCTTACGCGCTTCTCTCGGCTTTATGTCCTCTTTTGTATAGCACATTCGCGAATTCCATGGAGCATAGTTGGGAATCGCGATTCTCTTCATTTTTCTCTGCATAATTTCTTTTGACTAATAGAAAAAAATATATAGAAACCTTGATTCGTAAGTTTGATTCGTGAGAAAGAGCATAAACCGTAAAGAGAATGACCCGTGAGACTCGAGCGAAGGCAAGTGGAAAATTAGGAGAAACGTTAATAATGATAGACTCTCAATTCTGAATATACTAATAAATTCTTGTGGGACGCGTAAAGTCTTCATTATTGCGCACGCACTGCACTTTAACTGTCTCTATGTGCGAAAGCTATTGCCGGCAACGGACATTAATCGTTTTCTCTATTCCGTACTTGAATTATCACGGGTGA